TGGACAGACGGACAGATGGACGGACAGATGGACAGACAGACAGACAGATGGATGGACAGACGGATGGACGGACGGATGGATGGATGGATGATATGGCTGGCTGGATGGACGGATGGATGTCATAGCTTATACAATGTACAACTGTACCATATATTTCACATGATGCCCAGTGCAGTCCTTCAGCTTGGCTACAGCATCAACCAATAATTGAACCACACCTTCCTCACTGAATGCAAGATTCATTTTCTCACAAGCATCAGTGTAGTTGATGGCTGACAGCATAATCTTGTTCAACAAAACTTGTGCTTTTCGCAGACAAATACTTGGTTTGGTTATTTGTTTCTGACGAAAAAGAAACTTTGTTTTTTAGAGGTAAGTTGTAAAGCATGCACACAAACGAAATTCCAATAGACCATCTACAAGTTACAATTTACTGTTCCTTGATAACAAACTCATTTACTCAGGGTTAGCCTTGTATCAGTGTTTAAATATTCACAAATACCAACGGTAAAGTGAAAAATGCACAACTTCAACAATACAAGCACTTTACAATCCCATGGACCTTCACTGGAACACATGCATATTCTGCACAAATCGAGGCTGACCCTGAGCAACTGAGAAACTGGAGTATTGGTCTGACGCACATTGAGGCACTTCTATTCACGATCCAAATATGGTATCTGGAATCCAAGGTATGGAATCTGGAATCCAAGATGCAGAATCTGGAATCCAAGATCTGCAATCTGAAATCCAAGGTATGGAATCTGGAATCCAAGATCTGCAATCTAGAATCCAAGGTATAGAATCTGGAATCCAAGATCTGCAATCTGGAATCCAAGATATGGAATCTGGAATCCAAGATATGGAATATGGAATCCAAGATTTGCAATATGGAAATCAAGTAATATAATGGAATCAAATATGAAATCTGGAATCAAGATGTGGAAACTGTTATTCTGCACTTAGGGAATCCAGAGTCCAGAATTCATCATTTCAGGCTCCATTATATTGGCTGCTCTAAAAAATGTTCTTACCTCCTCAGAATCGATTGCCTTGTCTGTGTTTTCTGTAACATTTTCCTCTGCATGATTGTTTGAATCTGGCTGAACACTACTACCGACATCAGTTTGACCACTTGAGATTTTCAATTCATAATTGGTGTGCTTAGTATCATTAGGTTCTGTAGGCTGATTACTTGAGTTTGAATGCTGTATGCAATCTTTAGGCTGATTATTGGGTAGCACATCACTCACTCCTTCTTTTGGCCCATCATTAGGTTCTGTAGCATTTAAAATAACTCCCTGTGCATTGGGTTTTTCATTGGTTTCGCCATTTTCTATTGCCTGATTATTAGGCATCATGTTGCCCACACTCACTTCAGTTACTTCTTCGCTACATTTTTCAGTGGTTAAACCAGTTTCTATAGGTTGATTGCTAGATATAGTAGGATTGTTACCAGATTCGTCTATAATCTTATCACTAGATTCTGCAGACTGGTCGTCAGAATTTTTCACTTCCTTTGTATCTGTAATCTTATTAGATTCGTTCTCCACAGCTGAAGCCTTTTTTAAGTTCTCATCCAGCTCTCTATCATAAGTTAAAAGCTCAGGAAAGCCAGAATCCAACTTCAAATAAATTTCTTTAAACATTCTTGCAAAGCCAATTTCAGCTAGAAAGTTTCCTAACACAGTTTTTCTTTTTACTTTAGAATAAAGGCTCGAAACTACCGTAGCTTGACGCTGTATACTTAAGACATCATCCCCTTCCATTTTCTCCTCGATGAGTTTGATTGCTTCTGTGACAGAGTCAAAAGACACTATTTTGGACAGTAATTATTTAG